TAGTTAAGAATTTAGAAGCCCCAGAAGTCCATCTTCAGGCAATCACCTTTTGCTTTTTCACCTCCCAGTCCACAAGAAACTTGGTGGGCAACATCAGGACACAAAGCCCAGTCACCTCTACTCAGTGTTTGCAACACCAATTGCAGCTCTGGAATTAACAGATATTCATGTTACAGATCAATGAGATTAAGCATGTGCTTAACTTTAATCATAGAAATAAGCCAATTTCTGAATCTGGTCAGCATCACTCATCACTGGGCAGAACTGAGCTCTTTCTGGAAAATTAACTCTTCATTTGCTTTCCCATGCTCCATGGTTCACAGATACACTATGAAGAAGTTACGTGTATTAACAGTTAAGTATAGAACCTGGAGTCACTTATATTCTTCTCTGACAAAGTTTATAATATCAGGGAACAGCCTGAGATTATTGGCATTGTTCAGTCTTTGCTTTGCTGTAACAATGGGACACAAGTCTACAAAGAGTCAAGTAGCAAAGTGAAATCTGGTCTGAGAACCTTCACGAGTTAATATTTGTGTAATTAACAAAGCTGTGTGAATTCCACTGTTGGACTCCGTTTTTCTTTCCATTAACATTCTTTTATACTTTCTATAGAAGGTCTGGAATTGAACACTGAATAGTTTTTTTTCTTTCCCTCACTAAAAATATTATGGTTAAGGCTGTTGTATCACCAGAATTTAGATTAGATAGAAATATTCTTGTGCAAAAGATCTGATTATTTTTTGAGACTTTTTTTTTTTTTAAATCAAAGTTAAGCATCTTTGACACATTAGAACTTCATCTAAATTTCTAATTGTTCAAACACAGACTAAATATTGCTTCACTGTTTATTATATCTTCATTAATTATCAGCGCTAAGGAATGCATTTTAAGACGTTCAGGAAGTTTTGAAGGTCCTTTCTTAGTGATACAGGAAACCTCACAAGTTTTTAAGAATGTCACCATGATTAAATAAGCATTTCATTTTATGCTTTAATTTTAACTCAGCTGAGTTGACAAGACACAAAAAGAGAGCCATAAAGAAGTCTTGATGGGTAAAATTAGCCAGGAAGAAGCAAACAGAACTGAAGAAAATACAAAACTTGCAAATACATTTGTTTTACTCTAATTGCTTAGCGATCATCTGTTTCAGGACATAAATATCTAAGTTAATTTTCAATGCTAGACACCACAATCCTAAAAGGGAAAATGATATTTTTTAAATTGACAAGTCTGCAAGCATTTTGATCCTACTGAAGGAAACTTTAACGTTTGCTACTGTAGAACAAAGCCCTACTCATCTCCTGATCCATTTGTGTATTACTCATGGAGTCAGATCTGTGATCATTTCAAGAGATCCATTTTTTTGTGGATTAATGAGAAATAAGCTGCCATTCCCAAGACCAGCTGCATTAACACAAACACCTTGATCATATGCTGTCAGTACCACATAGCTTCAGATGTTCAAAGGAAAGGACCAGAGAGCAGACCACTCCCTGGCAGTGCTTACACACCCTAAAATACAGTAGGTTGGTAGAACCTCTTCCTGAAACAGAGTTTGAGGTTTTCAACTCTCAGGCCACATAAATACCTTCTTTATTACAAATCAATTAGTAAAGAGTTGACTTTGCATTACTGATTTTGACAGGAGGCTCTTACAAAACATAAGTATCAAAGAACAAAAAACCTAGCCTTCAACAGTGCATAAACTGGAAGTAAAGCCTTAGTCTGGAGTCAATCATAGGCTTTAATGGCTCACATTTGCACTGATTCACAGTTGGGAAATAGAAGACTTCACTGAGCACATTGCACAAGAAGCTGATCTCCAGCCTAGCAGTGTTCATGAAGCCTGTGAAATGGGAGTGTGAAAATGCATACTAAGTGCAGTAGAAATAAAATAGCAAAATAGGCTGCAAATAAGTACATTGACCAAATGTGGGTATGGAGGACTTTCTCAACTGTTTGTACATGCCAACATGCTCTGGCCACGACACATCCGGAGATGATCCATCACTCAACAGAATATGCTTCGTGCCCCATGAAGGACAACAGGCAGCAGATAAATCTGGTCTAGTCCATATGGTGTGGAAAAAGCCTTTTTCCCTGGACTAAAGATTAACGGCAATTGTCAGAAATCTTAATGGGGGCCAATGTAAAGATAATTCCAAAGTTACAGAAATTCTTAAACACTTCATCATGCCTTGTTGTAAAGCAGCAGTAATCATAGGCAAAAGCTGTTTTACTGTTAGAAGGTCTACAGAAAAAAAAAAAAAAGAGAGAGAAAAAAAAAAAAAAGAAGAAAAAGATTACACTTAAAGCAGAATTGGCTTGCATTTCCCAGTGGTCTTGACAGCCTGACAAAGCAGCAGCAATACCACTGCCCAATGTTAAATACGATCCACAAAGACCAAAGCACACAGCCTAGAGGCAGAGCCCAGGACAATGTTTGCATTCCCTTTGAGCCGAAACATTCCACACGCAGGCTTCAGCCTCCCAATAAAACACACCAGAAAGCATAGTGCAGCTGCATTTAACCTCTGATTTTCTTTCAGCCAGAACCTCTCCCTTTTTCCAACTTGTATTTCAGTCTGGGTTTCCCAGCAGTTTTCCCCCTCTTCAGTGAGGGCCAGTCTCCAAAACACTTTGCCCTCATTTTATTCTTCTTGCTGACTTTTCTATTTTCACAGTTTTATCTATAAATGGTTCAAATGGCTATTTAAAAGAGTTCCAATCACACATGGTCTTTAAAGAGCATCACTTGAGGAGATGGATAGAACTTGTCTGGAAGGAAGCAGAAGCACTGCCTGCACCAGCAGCTGGTTTGGACTGTCTCCTCAGGAGCAGTAGGGCTGGACATCAGGAGGCATCTGAGAACTGCACCATGACTTCCTGCAGCCCTTGGTCATATCCAGGATGGGCCACGGCACCTGTAAGTCAGTGAGTAAGTTCTAGAATGGCCCCAGCCTACAGCAGTGCTAATCAGAACAGGATGGGAATAAGGCAGCCAGCAAGCCCAAATTCCCTCCATGCCTTGGTGGGGCAGGACGACCCACATCACACAGCGGCTGACTGTGGCTACGTGTTACTCCCCAGAGCTGCATGCATTCAGGCACATACACAATGTTTCTGAACATACATTAAAGAGAGAAACTATAGTAAGAAAACAGTCTGCTAGAGAGATTGTATGAAACGAGGAAGCATGCCAAAAGCGCTTGGTGTTTAATTTCAGCATATATAGCACTGCCTCAGGTACAAAGAAAAGTTTCAAGAATCCCATTTAAAGTTCCAATCAAGGTCTTCATTTGTATTCTAATTTGTGGAGCCCGATCCTGCAACATCCAAGGAACAACAATCAGGTAGAGAATAGATGGAGGCCCAGGCTGCAGTCCCACTATAACACTCTCTTGGCACACCACGGACACCTGGGCTGGGACTTCACCCAACCTGCAGTACCACAAAGCATGGAAAACATCTCACCAATGAGGCTGGTGACATACAGCCACCTCCACAGCAGACCAAGCAGCAAGGTTTCATAAAAGAGCAGTTTAAATTCTCTTACATGCCTTTTTGTCTCCCTACCTTTAACCTTTGGAACTGTCTTCAGTGCTAGAATACTTCATTATATTTTTTAATGCAATGACAGAAGGCCCATGTCCACCCTGGTATAGGGTGGACCACAGCAGTCAGCCTAGAGTACACCATAGCTAATATCCAAACGAATAAAGTAGTTTGGATAGACATACCTGACACTAACTGGAAACACAGGAGTTCACATATTATCATCATAATGTCAACCAGGCATTCACCAGGTGGGTGAAGCAGCTACTGAAAACAGGGCGAGTTTCTTTACAACCAAAGTGGGACCACCTACTCAAAGTATTCCCATAATGTGGGACACTGCTGCCAACACAGCACTCACCACCTGCCCAGATGACTTTGGAAACAGGGCTCTTGCCTTTTTGTTCCCCTCTGTTTTGCTGCAAGTTGCTTTTAAAGGTCATTATAGTTGAATAACTATGGACAAAATCCAACACACCATCAAAGTGGCCTTCCTAACAGGTGTTTTATACACCACAAAAAAGAAACATTTAGTCTGTTGAAGAGAGCCCCTGCAGTATGTTTCAAATAATTCCTTCTCTATTTATTGTTTAAAGAATTACTACTTTTAATCAGTATAGAAAAAAATAAACAAGAGATCAGTATTTTTCATTTTGTATTTTTAAATGGATGCAGATGAATAACCAAGAGGAAATCTCAACACTTTGTTCTTATGAATGATCTCAGACTGAAAATACCCACTGCACTCTTGCTATTGTCAAACATACAGAAATTAAGAACACAGTCTTAGAAATATATGGAGTAGTGATTAAGAAGGTGGTCTTAAGAGATAAATAGAGCAGTGATGCTTCACCTCACTGTTCAAATGGGGGTTTCAATAAAGCAATGCTGACTTTTTGCAGAGGAATGATTTTGCTGGCTTTGGGCTTTAGGACACCAGCCATCCAGAGAAATCTTTTGATATCAGGATGACATCTACTATAGCTAGCACTTAACCCTTTAAGACTAGATGATTAAGCCAGTTGACCAGGAAGAGAAATCAGTTTTAACACCTGGAAAAATTCAAATGACTTCCAATCTTCTCATTCCTGGGTTATTCTCATTTATAAGTGCAGACAGGAACTTTTATACAGATTTGGTTTCTACATTTGACTGGAAAAAAGAAAGTAAATTTATACTGAACTGAAACAGAAAGCACAAGTCCTGGTTAGGAGACCATACTGAACCATCACAAAAATGGACTAACAACCACTTAAATTAAAGGTGCAGAAACTGGAGGTCTCAGTGACTCCAGGACAGAGAAATGTGTATTCAAAGCCAAGGTTAGTATTCATTAGAAACTGAGACTATTAAGAAGATATATAATAAAATAATTTTGGAAACTAACAGAGAGAATTGTGTACCAGAACTAAAGAGTGACACATCTTTAAAGCATTCAATACCTTAGGTGGTTTAGGAAATATACGTTATACTGCAGGATTGGTCCCTTCTTCAGTGCCAAGCGTGAAATGGTTGTGCTGGTCTGGTGGTCACGTGCAAGGCTCAGGATCTGAGAGCAAACAATCAGTTGGTTATTCTGCTGTGAAATAGCAGACTGTTTATTCTGTTGCTAATGTAGGTGTGCCCTGTGAAGTCTTCCTTTCAGATGGCCCATGCTCTTCACTGGCTATTTCCAAACTTGCATCTTGACAACAAGGAACAATTAATTACAGCAGCTAAAGAGCCCCAGAGTCCACCAGACCTAGAATACACTAGAACACAACGTAGCAGTTAAAAAATAAATTAAAAAAAAAAAAAAAGTGTATGAGAAGAAAAAAGAGACCATCTTTATCTAGGAAGGAAAATAATATCCCACCCTCAGTACAACTTCTGCTTTTCATGCCATGACAGTGCCATGAGCACGGTGCTCAGGGTTGATATACATCTCTGATATACAAAACACTCTGGCTTCACCTTTGTCGTTCTGGGTGGTCCTCAGATGAGCAAACTGAACCACAGCAAAGCACCAGTCCTCTAATATGGTGATTACTATTAATGATTTAACTGGTTTGCTTATGCCCATGCTTAATTGGCTATGTTAATAGCATTTTATTCCACAATTCACTTGTATGTGGCTGATAACACAGCACTTGTGTGGCTGGGCAACATCTTCTCACCATTGCTGTCTGTCATCAAGGACCAAGCCAGCACTGTGATGCTAACTGACAATCCCAAATGTTTTGTTTAATTGGGTATAATTTAAACTATACTGTACAATTTCACAGTAATGGCTGATAAATCTTTTATTAAATAGACAAAACCATGAAAAACCTTTAGTCAAATAGCAAAGATTTCAGTCATCTTTAACAACAGTATTTAGAATTTCTAAACATTCAAACATGACATTAATGAGAATTGAGTAAAGAAAATTGCTGGTGAATTTGGAAAATCCCCTTTCAAGTCTATGCCAAGCAGTATATTGCCAGAAGACCACGCAACACGATTACCCAAGGTACTCATGCTTAAAAATGCCCTCTATCACAGAGAAGACCGCTTCATCTCCAGACACATTCTGCTGGTCTGTCACAAACAGGCATTTGCCTGCGAGACATTTCCAGAGAATCGTGGTCAGCAAGAGACAAGTATGCTGCGAGTGCCTTTGGGCCACCCATCCTCCCAATGGATCTGAGGCCCAAGCAACAGAATTCAAACAGAAAACACCAAGACATTAAACAGGACCTCTCCTTAGGGCCTGCTCCTGCCCAGGCAATCAACTTGGCCTGCAGCAGCTTGCGGGGCCCAGTTTTGCCCAGTTCCAGACCTGCCCCAAGGGAGGAGGTTTTGCCCAAGGCCCTGACGTTGCAGCCTGCTGCCCACCCAGCATCAGCAGGGAGCCAGCACCCGCCACAGGCCCATGCAGAGCCCTCAGGCCACACACAACTCTGCCCAGCTTCTCAACCCCACCACTAATGGGGGCACTGTGTACTGCCTAAACGCTGCACAGTTTTGGACTTCTTGATCCAAGCCTGTCCCCATACAGCCTTCTGCTCCGGTCTGTCTGACCGCCCTTCCACTTATTTGTCTCCCACAGGACAACCCTTCCTTCCCCTGCCAGTCCTCTGCTGTCTTCATCCCTCTTCCACAGTCTGCCTTTTCCTTCTGTCTCACTCTGCTCCCAGACTAATTATTTAGCACAGGGGTCAAAAAGCAAAGAAATGCTAAATTAGTTTGGCATCTGTACTACTTAATGACATCAGACACCCTGTTTAACTACACATACACTTAACTTTGGACAATTTCAGCCTCCTTCTAACAAAACTTTTGTATGGGTGACTGTTGTTTCCCACAAAACAAGCTTTGAGTGAGAGAAGAATTTCATAGTAGGAAACTACAGAGCAGAAACCATCCTACCATGTATTTTGTGCCAGGAAAATGGCACAGGAGTGTACTACAGCTGGCAGACCAGCACCACATCTAAGCATCCCTGGCTGTGAATCTGGAAATGGCAACATGCAGGCACAGCCTGGCTGCGCCTCTCCCAGGAAGGGAACAGGATGCGGGCAGTGACACCTGCCACAGATGGGGACCATCACCACCACAGCCACCCTCTCCTGTCCCAGAAGGAGGTTGGGCACAACCACTCTTGAATGTAATGATGGATTCACTGATTCCCACCTTCACCTCACACCAGCAGGGTTAGCTTTCACAACAAATGCATTACAGAAAGCGTAAAAATGTTCAGCAGACAAGGTTTTCCATGGTTCTTGGATGTCTCTGTATGTTCAGAGGCTGTGCTGTGGAATTTAAAAGGTCAACTCCATACAGAAGGGTGGAGAGGATTTACAAAGTGGTGATAAAGCTGGGAGAAAGGAGTAAAAATACTCACTGGCTTTTTGAGATAGAGGGGAAAAAAAAACTAGAAAGAGTCAAGATCATGGAGAATTGAGAGGGAGAGGGACTTTCCAGTTGTCTCTAAGAGGAGAGAAAGCAGATGAGGATTTTCGAGAACAAACATAACACACACATACATGCACATACATACCCTCATTTCTAGATCCTGGAGAGAAGGCAAGCTGCTGCATAGTGTAGAGATTCAAAATGTAGAAAATCAATTGTAAATCACGAGTTCTGGATTCTTTGAGATGAAGTGTAATCTGATTTACAATGTTACAAAAAGAAATTAAAGTTAATTCCAACATGATTTTGGGTATACCACAATTTAATATAACCATGCTGTGGCCTTTAAATCTCTGCATTGCAATATGCCAACAGTCATTACTTCTTTAAGTTTCATATTTTATTTTAAACTATAAATTGGAAATATCATATAGCTTGTTATTTACGTTTCAGAATTAGGATCTTTGCTTAGAAACACAGTGCTCTATGGTGTAATAAGATTATTGTGCAACTACCACACAGTTCGGGTAGTTATAGGCACTCCACTTCACCTCATCATTTTTTCTGCTTAAATATTATGCCACATTCTGATTAATACCAGACCAATAAAATCATCTTAGCAATCTGGTTAGAGTCTTTTGTCTACCCAGATGGCCTGCAATGTTAATGTGTGACAATTTCAACAATGAACTAGGACTGTTTTATGGAACCAACATTTGTTCCACTGCTTTTTCTTCTTAGGCTCAGAATTTTGACACAGATGGTACAAATTACTCAAAAAACAGAAATGTTCATTTAGAAGGCTTAAATATGTGGTTTTACTCAGGCCATCCGAATCTTTTACATTTACAATTCAGTAAATTTACTAACAACCCTGCTGTAATTAAGGTCTATAAAAATCTTCCCTCCTTTCCTGCTTGCTTTTCCCCTTACATATCTACAGCATTTCATTATGGCTCCAATTTATTAATATTTATTCCAGTTCTGAAATGTTTTTAATTTTGGAGGATTTACACTGTTCAATCTTGCATCCGATTCTTCATACCTTTCTAATTATGGGGAAGGAAAAAGAAAAAAAAGAAAAAAAAAAAAACACATTTAATCTGTAACCACATATTAATCCCCTTAGAACCTACACATTTCTAAATCTTAAAGGAGCAGAAAAAAAGAAAAGATAGAAGAATGTCGATGGCTTCTGGCCAAACGGCACATCATTTTCAGTTAAAAAGAAGAATTTATAATCCTAACTTTCCATACAGATACTCAGGAAAGAGTAAAATATCCCTGAGAATTTACAACACAGAGAAAAAAAGCAATGGGATTCCTATTAAGGAAAAAAAAAATAATCCCAGACTAAAGACAGATGCATGAATAGTTTGACTGAGTCTATAAAGACAAGAGGTTATTGTGTAAAACTCCCAGAGGACAAAAGAGTTAACACAGAGCAACTACTCCAGAGCTTTTGCTGCTGCACCAGAGAAGACAGAGCCAGCACAGGCTGTGTTGCCCTGCATCTGGGCAGGTTCACCTCCCGCACCACCAGACCGTGACAATGCACCTTCCACAAGAGCACCACAACAGCTTTTGTGCCCACACCCAGGCACCTCTAGACAAGCAAGCCATGCTGGGGGATGGCCAAAATGGCCAAAATGACTGGTGAGGAGCACAAGCAGAAAGTCAGAACTCTTGCAGTGCCCCAGCCTCAAGCAAGCCTCAGCCCCACTGGGTTTCCTTCAGCGAGTGGCAGCTGTGGTCTGCGATAGTCTGCACACTCCCAGGAAGTCTTTGGGGCTCATGGGGAGGCCATGCTGCAATCATCCCAGGTCCTAGGTGAATCAGGGTTTGCCTTTGGGGAACCCACCAAAGAGAGCTCGAGGCACCCACAAACCTGGCACCATCTCAATTGGTGCAATTGCTAACAACAGTGGGTGCATTCTTTTTGGTGCCTACAGCCAATGCACCTGAACACTGCCTTGCTTTGGAAGTTACTGCACCCATGTGTGGCTTCAGCACCACTGAGATGTTCTGGTTTCTGTCCCAAAATGTCTCTGTACTACTTCACTTTTGTTTTTTGTTGTTTTGTTTTGTTTAAACAAATAATTTAAACATTAAAATCAAATTTTAAAAAATAAAATAAATAAAATAAAATAATAAAATAAATAAAAAACACGACTGTCCTTTTGCAATCCTTGCAGAAAGTGCAGTATGTGTGATGTTCCAATTCATTATGATATTCTATTAGATCTGCCAACAGAAAGTGCATTTTGAGTTTCTAAATGTTGTTTCCATTAGAATCAATCACTCTGTGCAATTAAGCCAATAGTCTCTCACCATTTCTGCTGTTATGAGCTAAACCATCCTAAATATATTGACAGCTGTCTCCTATAAGATGACACAAATTAGGTTGAGGGGGCATAAGACTAAATGTCACCAGTGGGAGGACATCAGTTATTCTTTCAGAAATCTACCTAATTTTCATACCCCATAAGGCATTCAGTAGACTTCCTTTGCATTGGCAGCATGCAGTAATCAATGTTTTGCATATTACAATCAATAACATGCTTAAATGTTTAAGCTTTGCATTCTTTTGCGATAAATATTGATATATTACAAACTATGTAAAACTGTTCATTGGACTTTTTGTTTGCAGTATGTACTGTATCATTCAGCAAATAAGTGAGCTAAATATTGTTTGTTACAAAACAGATGTCACATGAAATTATGCCATATGTGCTATTAAACATTTTTCTTTTTTTTTCTTCCTCTCCCCCCCCCCCCCTTTTTTTTTACACTGAAAACCAAGATTTAGTTTCAGAAGTGAGTGTATTTGGCTTTACAAGGTTTTGAAACACGAAAGCAACATCTCTGAAATATTTTAAACCTGCTGTGCATCCTGTAATCCACTTTTGTAAGTGAAATCTGAGTGTTTTAAATGTAGATATCCTAAAATAAAGAAATACGCTAAATGTGTGATAGCAATACTACTTCTCCACAGGTTCCACTGATTTATCAAAGAGGCAAATGAGAAATTTCTACAGTTTCACCATACCACCTAAGTTTACTTTTAGCACATCAGTATCTTTAAATAGAGATACTTGAACTTGAAAATGAATATATACTTTTCACCTAGCTAAAAAATTTCACCTAGTGGTTATAAGAAATTTTCTGTAGGTATTTTATATTGGAATCTGAGAATACTGGGTGCATAGGGATCACGGAGGTCAAGGATGGTCAATGCAGACCTACTTTGGAGTGAAACATAAAACCACTAACTCTGCATGAGGAAAGGGAATGAATTCTGAGGTTTGACTTTAATTGATTTTACAAAACCATGTATGTATAAGCAGAGCAATCTATATCTCCAGACTTTGAAAGTGCGAACTCCACAACAGAACGAGCAGAATGCAGGAAACATGTTGCTAAGAGCTATACAGTAAAACAAAATCTGGTTGCCACAAGAAGAGTGACATTGGCATCAGAGGCAAAGACACTTACACCCACAAATGGAAATACAGCATGTTGGGAAAGCTAGAGGAAGAGGAGCAGATGCAGCAGCACAAGGAAAAAAAAAAATCAAAGTAAAGATCTTCAGATTCCATATGTAGTTTTCATTCTCTTAGTCATCAAAAGCATGAAGACAGGGTAAACAAAAAGGGAAATAAAGAAAGGAAGGTGAAGAAAATATTTTCTTCTATTTTTCCACCCCAAAGGCAAAATACTTGCTTACATTTCTAGACGTGCTATCTTTGTAAGTCTTCTCTGTAATACAAATAACTAATTGCTTGCCAACAAGCATTAAAACTGGGAGGAAAAGTCCTTGATCTCCCAGCTTGATGGAGATTCCTGAGGCTTCTAGTCTGTTGGAAAAAAAATGTGAATAAACTTTAACACTTCAGTGGATGAAGTCCTTCATCAAATACTATGAAATTCCAATGTGAAGCCAGACAAAATCATTGTAGAGCCTGAAACTCTGCTGTACGGCCAGGGGAAGCTGCCTTTCTCAGGTCACACCACCCTCCGTACCATATCAACTTCTCAAATTTTCTGAAGCATAGTGTCACCTTGTCCATATCCCATTTCACGTGTTCACTTAGACAGAGCATTTGTAGAAAAAAAGCAGATGGGGCAACCATGAAGAATCTCTGCTGTGCCTCATTCACACCACCGAACACATGGCAGTCAGATAAATACTGGTTTATTGGCTTACCGAACCACGAGCTTTTCCCCCACAGAGAAATTATCCCAGCACAGGGACACGACACAACACCAACATTTCCAACAAGCTGGCCCACCGGCACTACTCTAGGTTAAATCGAGGAGGATGAGAGCCCTCACTGGTTTGGTGCCCACCCCACAGGTGTGGGGCCGGCGGGGGCACACAGAGCCCTGGACCACAGGGAATGAGTCCAGCTGTGCCCTTGGATGTCCCTGCCACCACAGCATGAAGACGGCACCTGTGGCCAACACATCCCCTTTAGGTCCACCCTGCAGCTGCCATTTTCCCAGATTTTCTGGTCTAACATGCCTTGGCTAAGACTAAACAGGGTTTTCATCAATAGCCCATGAGTCGAAGTAGGAGCAGATCAAGCATTTCCCTGGGTTAAAGCATGATCACAAAGGATGTCAATGGTGAACAGTCAGGATCAGCCGTACTGCGGTAACCTGTGGCAAATCCTGACTTTGTGCAGGATACTTAGCAAAGAAAACATGCACACCTTCATAAAAATATCAAACTTGGCTTTTTCCTCTGAAAAAATAGACTATTTTTTACCCCCAAAATCTAGCATAGGGCAAGATTATTTTTAAATGATGTAGCAATGTGCCAGTATTTGGGGTGATAGATTCGTTATAAATGCCAAAGATCTGAGAGGAGAAAAGCTTACAGGCAACCCTACGACCTCCGATTAAATGCAAACGTGATTGTAAAAGCTTTCTCTCCTCCCTGCCTCCATGTTGCACCCTCTACAGCAAAATGTTTAGCACATGATAAAAATAGCTAGATCTTTCAAAATCTTAGAAGAAAGGTTCTGGAATGTTTTTCTTTAAATGTTATATTTTCTTAAAGGCAACATAATGAGGTCAACTGAAGCTGGATTCAAGCTGATAAACTGTGCTTAGGAGAAACCAGAGGTTGAGTGGGGGGGGAGGGGGGGGGGGGGGGTTCTTCCAGAGGAAAACAAAGAGAATGATTGCAAAAGTCAGATCTCAAAATGTTAATCAGATTCAGAAACATAAAACATGACAATTTAATGGTGTTTG